CAGGGAACACAACAGAGAGTCCCGGATGGAGCAGGAGAAAGGTGGGGTGCAGAACTCAAATTCTAGTAAGAAGACCAGACTTAACGGTCTGACTGAGACTGGAGGTATCCCGGAAAGCACGGCCCCTGGATTCTCTATCAGCCCAGAACTAAAACAATTTCCGAGGCCAAGCCTTCAGACAGGGATTGGACTGGACTGTGGGACATAAAGTGATACTCGTGAGGAGTGTGCCTCTTAGCTCAAGTAGAAACAAGAGACTAAACATGTAGCTTCTGTCCGGAGGTGAGATGGGAAGGCAGAGAGGGTTAGGAGCTGGCTGAATTGACACGGGTAATTAGGGGTGGAAAGGAGGAGTGTGCTATCACAGTATGGGGAAAGCAATTAGAGTCACATATCAATGTATGTGTAAATTTCTGTAAGGGGAAAAAAATGAAAAATAAAAAAAAAGAATGGCCTGACAATCTACTTCTGAAAAATCAGCCACTGAAAACCTGTGGAGCAGAGTTCTCCTCTGACACACATGGAGTTGCCACTGGAATAGACTCGATGGCAACTGGTACTGGTTAGTGGCAGGATCAGCAAGAAAACGCAGATTGTTTATTATAATCCAGTCCAGTGCTCTTCTGCCATAATTATGATATAATCAAGAAGCTACCTAACCTCCCTATGTCCAATTCAAGTACAAGTTATTCCAGTGAGATGACAGTTGTATACTCTATAAATAGACTGGTAGGTATTGTCAGGAGCAAGTAACTGAAAAAACAAAACATTTCCTTCTCCCTCTCTCTTTCTCAATGAGAGAACCATAGATCAAACGGAGAGCTGAGGTCCTTACTTCAGGAGAAGACTAACCAGAAGACAGTCTACTAGCATGGAAAATGTGGGCAGAACTTTGACCTAGATAAAATGATGAAATTATTCAGGAGGAGAAGCAGATTGGAACTAAGAAGCAACATATACTTCTAAGGAAATAGGCAAAGGAATTCTAAATGAGGAAACCACGGATTCAGGTGGCTGGGCAGTGGCAGCTAGACCAAAATCCTCAGGAACCAACTCTAAAGCTAGACTCTGAACTGCACCACGTCCCACCCCAGAGACTGTATGCACCCTGACCTGGCCTCAGAGATTACAGTAAAATGGTTTTTGTTACATAAAAGGAGGCTGACTTAAACACTATATAACCCATGTAATGATGTATCATGAAGGGATCTAAAAAACTCATCTCTTCACCATTTACTAGACAGCACTATGGTTAAGAATGAAGACTAAAAAGACAAATCATGGATCAACCATTTACCTGCTAGGTAAATGGGGCAAATTTCTTAACGTCTCTGTGAAACAGAATATCCACAGTACTATCTCAGGGTTTTTGTAGAGATTAAGTATACTTAGCACAATTACTGACACAAAATAAGCATAAAAAAGTGTCATGGTTTGAATTATGTCCCCCCAAAAACGTGTATATCAGTTTGGCTGGGCCATGATTCCTGGTACTGTGTGATTTTCCTGTGTGTTGTAAACCTGCCTCTATGATGTTAATGAGGGAGGATGGGTGGCAACTGTGTTAGTAAGGCACAACCTGACCTGCAGGACTGGACTGTGTCCTGAGGCAATCTCTTGAGATATAAAAGACAGAAGTGAGCAGTGAGACAGGGGGACCTCATACCATCAAGAAAGCAGTGCCAGGAGCAGAGCGTATCCTTTGGACTGGGGTCCCTGTGCAGAGACGCTCCTAGTCCGGGGGAACACTGATGAGAAGGCCGAGAAAGAGAAAACCTTCCCCTGGAGCTGACACCTTGAATTTGGACTTTTAGCCTACTTTACTGTAAGGAAATAAACTTCTCTTCGTTAAAACCATCCACTTGTGGTATTTCTGTTATAGCAGCACTAGATGACTAAGACAAAAAGATTGGCTAGTATCTTGTTATTATTACTACTGAATGTTTAACTATACGTCAGGCACCGATATATACTAACACAGTGATAAAAAAAGACAAATGGTTCCTGCCCTATAAATAGCTGGTAATCTAGAAGTGGTGATGGATACATACATAAGTTGCTAGGTTACACTATACTTATCCAGTTATTTACCGAATAAGAACATATTAAGCCACCACCTGCCTATCAGTTTGTCATACTGTGGTGGCTTGCATGTTGCTATGATGCTGGAAGCTACGCCACCAGTATTTCATACACCAGCAGGGTGACCCAAGGTGGACAGGTTTCAGTGGAGCTTCCAGACTAAGGCAGACTAGGAACAGAGGCCTAGCAATCTACTTCCAAACATTAGCCAATGAAAACCCTATAGATCCCAACAGAATATTGCCTAGTGTAGTGCTGGACGATGAGCCTGCCTAAGTTGAAGCGCACTACACAACAGCCACAACAATGGACTCAAATATACCAACGATCATGAAGATAGCACAGGACCACGCAACATTTTTGTTCTGTTATACATACAGTTGCCATGAGTCAGAGCCGACTTGATGGCAACTAACAACAACATATTAAAGGGTAAGAACTTGGGCTCTGGAGTCTAACTCAACAGGGTTAAAATCCTTGCATATGACTTGTTAGCTGTGTGACCATGGCAGCTCTATGGAGACGTGCATACGTCTCTCTAAGAGTTTAACGCCTGGCATACAGAAACAGCTCAAATATACATCCTCAGAATGTATTCAAGTCACTTAACCTATCTAAGCCTCAGGTTCCTCATTTACAAAAGTGATAATAAAAGAACCTCAAAAGAATGTAATGAGGAATTAAGACAATTCAGTAGCAAAAGGACAGAATTTTCAACAAAAAGTTCTGGGATGAATGAGTATCTTTATTAAAAACAAACAAACAAAGATCCTGATCCAAACTTCACGGTATATGCAAAAACTAATTCAAAATGGCTCATACACCTAATTGTAAAACCTAAAACTATAAAAAACTTCTAAAAGAAAATTTGAGAAGAAAATCTTTGTGACCTTGGGTTAGGCAAAAATTTCTTAACTAAGACACTAAACGAGCACAACTCATAAAAGAAAAACGTGATAAATCAGACTTTATCAAAATTTAAAAATTTTGTTCTTCAAAAAAGACTGTTAAGAGGATGAAAAACAAGCATAAATCGGCTTTTAAGACCATTTAAATGTCATTCAAAACTCTAGAACTGAAGATGATCTATGATGTAATACAATTCTCCCCTGCACTGAAGATAAGTAAGGTCTAAAGAAATGAAGTAATGTGTCCAAGGTCAGACACACACACATACACACACACACACAGACACACACACAGACACACACACACACACAGCAATTTTAACAGAGCTGGTATTTGGAATCAATTTAACAGCAATGGGTTTGGTTTTTTTTTTTTTTTTTGGGTTTTCGTATTCTTCTTTAGCCCTGTATTTTCTTGAAAACACTGCACTACCATCTAGGATAATAAAAGACTACTCTCTGAAGGCTAAATAAAAGGAGCTCAACTTCCAGAAAAAGATTCCCCAAATATTGTGCAGAGAATTCTTCCCCTTTCTTAAAAAGCATTATGTAGAGACATTACCTAGCATATAGTACATAGTCTGTAAATGTTTAACAAATGAACAAATCTGCCACTACATTAATAGCCTAACCTTACTGTGATAGTTTTTTGTGTACCCCAAATCCCACTTGTCAAAGTGGTTACATTTAAATATTTTCACTCACCTGATATTTAAACCAATAAAGTTTGTCCATGTGAAAATATAATCTCCACCAAAAACCATTCCAATATAAGTTATTAATATATTCTGAAAAGAAAAGTAACAATATACTGTTAAATAAGTTGAACTCAGTTTTTTAAATATATACATAAACTCGCCCACACTAAGTGACCCAAATACCTGTTTCTAAAATGCAAAAATAAACAGGCAATAAAAACCAACAATCCCTAAAATAAGTGTAGCATGAGCAAGAACTCTAATAAGGAAACGACATTAGCCTCTCCCAAGCTATTTTTCTGGAAGGCAAATGCTTTCACCAATATTGAAGAATACTAAGTTATCAAACTTTCCTGCCCACTGGTATGGGCTGACATTATAAATCTAGATAGAGAAACACTGCTGTGACCAGGAGTAGGAAACACAAAGGCATGTGTGGTAGTCTTAGACAAGAGTGCTTTTCTCTCACACTGAATAACTGCTGACTTGTGAAGGGAGAGTGAAGTAGGAAAGGTCGCTTACATGCAAGCATCTTTCTCTATTTTTAAAGAGGAAAAAAGGGATAGTGGGGGCTTTAACAACATCAAAACTGTTTTTAAACAATCTTTTTTGTTATTTTAAAAACATATGAGAAATTGTTTGTAAGCATTATACCTAAAAAAACGTTTCTGAGTCCCTTAACTTCCCAGGTACAAACATCTTGTGCTTATCGGGGTCCCTTTTGACTATCCTCAGACAATAAAAGTGTAAAAAAAGTTCCAAAGTTTGAACTATTATTCAATTACTCCCCAACCTCCCCTCCTAAGTTACTGCCCCCCTCTCTATTACAACTGCCATAAATTGTAAATTTCAAACATTTTTAGTACCTGAGCTCTAGTAGTATTAGGTCTATGAAGCAGAAAGTAAAGTGCTGAAAGTGTTTTTAAAAGGCCAAAAACAACTTCAAAAAAAAATTTTATAATGGGGTGCCCTGAAAGAAAGCATTCAAAATCACAGTAGCCTTTTCTAGGTCTAAGGATGGCATCTACAAGCTACTTAGAGCAGATTTTCTTATTATTAGAGCGGGAAAAAATAAAATTAAATGTCATGCAACAGCAAATAAGGCCAGCAGGCAACTGGGAAAAGCGTGTAACAGGACCTCTTTGTTTTTTCTTCCTATGATGAAAAAACGCAGCCCCTCCTTTAAATGCAGAGATCAAGAGAGAGGCTGGATCAGTTCACATAACCCATTGCCACAGAGTGGATTCCAACTCATAGCAACCCTACAGGGCAGAGTAGAACTGCCCAACAGGGTTTGCAAGGAGCTGCTGGTGGATATGAACCCCCGACCTTTTGGTCAGCAGCCAAACTCTTAATCACTGCACCACCAAGGCTCCCGATTTCCATAAGCTATTCAGGAAATTCAGAGTAGGAAAGGTCAGAGAACCCAAACCCTGCTGCTCAAAATCAGAAGTTAGAAAACCTGAAGGTGTATATTAGAATATCCTAACCAAGATTTGCTATCAGGAAAGGACACCAACCCCCTAACGCAGAAATTACCAAGGAAGTAAAGAGGAATCTATACCGGCAGCTCAAAACTAAGACTACAATTCTCAAACTTCAGTATACCTGAGTACCATCTGGAAACCTTGTTAAAAATGAAGATTTCTAGGCGCTACCCCAGAGATTCTGATTCAGTATATCTGGGGGTCAACCTAGGAACTTCCATTTTTAACTAGTTATCTTAAGCCATTTACCAACCACACTTAAAAGAAACAAGGAATGCTGGCCCAAGGGTTTATGGGGCTGGGATCCTGAAGCACAGAAGGAAGTTGAAAACGTCTTGGGAACAATGGCTGAGCTAAGAGGGTTGTGACTGGGAGGCTGTTATGGACTGAACTGTTTCCCCCGAAAATATGTGTTGTAAATCCTAACGCCTATACGTATGATTATAATCTCATTTGAGAATGGATTTTCTTTGTTATGTCAATGAGACAGTATTAGAGTAGGGTGTGTCTTAAATCAATCTTTTTTGAGATACAAAAGCAGACTGACCAAGGGAGGAAGCAAGCAGAGAAATGCCAAGCTACATGAAGATCGCCTAGGAGCAGAAGCTCAAAAGAGACAAGGACCTTCTTCCAGAGCAGACAGAGAGAGAAAGCCTTTCGTGGAGCCAGTACCCTGAATTTAGACTTCTAGCCTCCTAAATTGTGAGAGAATAAATTTCTGTTTGTTAAAGCCATCCAGTTGTGGTATTTCTGTTATATCATCACTAGATAACTAAGACAGAGGCCAATGTAAGAAGCTCCACTGAGGCCTGTGAGAATCTGAAACAGCAAGGGCATCAGCAGATTCCCATTTGTTCAAAGGTGCAAGACACTTCAAAAGAGATGTCATGTGGCAGTGAGAAGCAACACCAATCAACAGTGAACTACTTAGACAGTAGTTTTTTCCCTCCCTCTAGAGTTTGAAAGTAAAACTGATCCCTTTGGATTAAGTAAGTCCCTGGGGTTCCTGGACTACTGTGGAGAGAAGGATATAGCAAAAGAAAGGTACTGGACTTTATGTTAATGAGACAATGACTCTGTTTGTACCTACTACTGATAATGATAAAAGAAAGAACACTAAGAGAGTCCAAGCAAGCAGGTTTAGTTTTTAAAATTAAACACAGGCTTTCCTGCACCATCCTCTTCCTTGAAGAGCGTGGTACCAACTGCCCTGTTTTCTCATGTTTTTGCTGCTCTTATTCTGAAGATGCATGCAACCCACTTTGCTCTTGAAGCAATCACTTTGTAAAACTAAAACACAGCTGAGAGCTAATTTGGGGGCTAAAACTATCTCAGCCTGCCCAGTCTCCTGACTGTAGATTCTCTCTAGCTTTCTGGGCAGTTCACACAATTGACTTGTTATATATCTTAACTTAGAATCCTATTCACAGCAAACACTCTAATTCCATGATTTGAAGCCACAGACCTTCTGGAGCTTTAACCCAAATCTAGTTTCCAAAATGAGGTAAGGTGGGCACCACTCCATTTGGAAAATTGCAGAGGGAAACACAGCAGAGCAGTAAAAACTTTACCTCTGCAACCCCTTCCCTCACTACTGACTGATGGGGTATTAGAAGGGACGTCACAACGGCAACTGCAGCCTTTTCCCCAAATGATCAAGTACCTCTGTCTTGACTTTTTTTTATAAAGCAAATCTACTTTGCTAATTCATTTGGAATTCAGGCATGCTGTGGCCTCTTGGGACCTCTGGTGGTGCAGTGGTTAAGAGCTCAGCTGCTAACCAAAAAGGTCGGCAGCTCAAATCCACCAGTGCTCCTTGGTAACCTTATGGGGCAGTTCTACTTTGTCCTATAGGGTCGCTATGAGTCAGAATCAACTCGACAGCAACAGGTGACTTCTTGGATCTTAAAGTAACAGAATCACCAAGTCAGATGAAAGAGGCCTCAGGCTTCAAGGCCACTAACTTTGGCTCGATATTGACTTGGGTATCTGGGCTGAGACAAATGAGCCTCCCCCAAATGAAATGGATCAAGAGGAAATGACATCACTGGGAATGTAGACACAGCTTTTAAAAGTTGGCAATTTAAGGTTTGGCTCAGGCATAGGAAAACTCCCTCGATTAGCTCCTGGCAGGCATCCTTTCCCTACAAAACAGCCAGAATTCAGTGAGGCAGAGAACAGAACATGCCTCAATGGGGGTTAAAGGGACAGGCCTATCACTACCAAGCTATTCATTCCCTGTGAGATACAGGCCTGACTGTCGTTCTTCCTCTGCTCTAAGATAACAGGATCTCCTTCTCCCACACTCCTTGGAGCTGAGCTGCCTGAAAGCAGAGACTGTACCTCCTCCAAGTTCTTAAAGACTATCTCAGAAACTAGCATCACTACCATTTGTCAAACTATCAAGACATTAGGTGAGGAAATAAGTATTATGGGGCTTAAGGGCATAGCCAGATTCTTATTTTAGAGAAATAATTTTCAGGTAAACCAGGCACCAAAAAAACAAAAAACTATTTTTTTCAACTCACCTTAATGCACCCAACTATTGTAGTTGTAAGAGCAGAATTATACTGAGTGCAAAGTACTGTGGCGTACATCAAGATAAACCTGGAATGAAGGAGGAGAAGGTATCTTGTAAGTAAGATCCAGTGGCTTACTTGATAATAATCTCTAACCAAGAAAAAAACGAAAACCTAACCCTTTGCCACTGAGTCAATTCTGACTCACAGGGATCCTATAAGACAGAGTAGAACTGCCTCATAAGGTTTCCAAGGAGCAGCTGGTGGATTCAAACTGCCAACCTTTTGGTTAGAAAAACAACCAGTACTGGCCTGTGCTGGCACATTCCAGTCACTGACCAACTGTGAGCTTTCCCCACCTCCCTGCTGCTTGTACTGCAGCTTCTAAGACTGTCAGAGATTTTTAAAAATTTCATTAAAGAGAAACACATGTCCATTCCTGACCAGATGTTTTTCCCTGCTACCCTCACCCAAGTCCTGAAAACATCATTCATAATCATGAGTACTCTTTTTAGATCATGCTTCCTACTAATTCACCTAAACCACAGAAAGCTCAGAACTCATAGACCCCAGTTCAGATATGTACCTCCCTGACCCCTGGGCCAAGGTGAAGATAAGAAAGATTCTTAAGGATGGAAGAAAGCCAAATTGGAACTAATTTAGAACTAATCTGTCTTGGAAGAAGTACAGCCAGAATACTCCTTAGAAGCATGGATGGAGAGACTTCATCTGACATACTTCGGACATGCTATCAGGAACTGCTAACAGAAAGGGTCCCTCATCTCGCCAGCCCCCTGAACTGGCCTAGAGGCAGGCACCAAGAGGACCCTCCCCTAGGACAAATGAGGAGTGGTTGGTGGAAGGCGATGGGGGAAGGGCTCAGGGTTGTTGCTGTCATGTCCTCTGAATGGAGCCCAGCCAGGCCCACTGCCCCTTCCTCTCCTCAGGCTCTTCCTCATCCCCCACCCCTCATCTTGCCCCAGGAAAGGCCAAAGTCCAGATGACTGCCCTCCTCCTTTCTTGTAAATACCAACTATGCATTTGTACAGGGGGCCCTGTTAGAGTGAAGTTCATATCCATGGTCCCTGACACTGTCTCTCCCACCTACCTCAAGAGGGACAGAGATGCATGTGACTCACCCTTGCCCTTGGTCTCCCAGACCCCTACTATAGCCAGAAATCAATAAAGAAGGGAGACCGCCCCCCCGCCCCAAAAATACAAAAAACAAAAAAACAATGTCTTTCTCCCTGGAGGAGGACATCATGCTTGGTAAATCAGAGGATCAGCGAGAAAGAGGAAGACCCTCAGCGAGATGGATTAACACAGTCGCTGCAACAATGGGCTCAAACACAACAACAATTGTGAGGACGGTACAGGACTGGGCAGTGTTTCATTGTGTTGTACACAGGGTTGCTATGAGTCGGAATTGACTCGATGGCACCTAACAACAATAACGAGAGGTTCACCTGACAACAAAGCAGGAGCAGCTGGCACTCCCAGATTTGCACTAAGGCTTCTGAGCCTGACTAAATACAAAGGCACCATGTCAACTATATTTTGAAGCGCCCACTCATTATGTGCCCAGCCTGTGCCAGATCTATTCACAAATATCAACTGAAATGACAGGCTGAGGGAAAAATGTGTTAGAGAAATCATATGCAGGTGAGGAGAAGAGGCACGTTTGCAGACACCCTCTTGCCTACTACATATTCTCTCCTAAAAGGAAAATAACACAGTAGAGAGGAGTCAAACAGTCCCAAATTCAAATGCTGCCACTGCCACCTAATAATTGTGCAAACTTAGACAATTTACTTAAGTTCTGAGCCTGCTTCCTCATAGGTAAGAGGGCAAGAATATCTGTCAAATGGGCAAATGTAGAAATAAAACTAAACAATGCATGTTGAAACAAAATGGTGCTTATTACATAGCTGTTGTTAGGTGCTGTAGAGTCAATTCTAACTCACAGCAACCCCATGTGACATAGCAGAACTGCCTCACAGTTTTCTTGGCTGTAATCTTCACAGGAGTGAATCGCCAGGTCTTTCTCCTGGGAAGCTGCTGGGTGGGTTCAAACCACCAACATTACAGTTAGCAGCTAAGCGCTTAACCATTGCACCCCCAGGTCTCCTTTATTACATAGGTTATTGGTAATATTGGTTTCTTTTTCCTTTTTCTCAGCATGACTTTAGGGTCAGTTAAGTAGCCCTCAGGGCACATTCCTAAGGGCAGCAAAAGCACCTGAATCTGGAGGCTTAATTATCCTGGGCTAATATACCCAGGAGACATGAACAGGATACTGAGGAGAAATGAGGCAGAAGGGCCCCACAACAAATGACCCTGGCAGTTGATGGAGGGGATGGGCAGGTATCTGATAAATTTCTCCGATCTATTTCTCTAAGAAAACTATCTGCTTTCAAGGTAGCAAAGGCTTACCCCATCACACAGGAGAGGGTAAACTGCAGAAGAAAAAGAGTGTCGGCCCAGCCTTCAAAATCCATTGCCTGTAATACACAAGAAAGCATCCAATTTTAGAGCAGGCCCTCAAAATCAGCTGTCCCATTCATTAATCAAAATTTTTTCTATGCACCTGCCCCCACCATGAACACTCATACATTCCCCTGCATCACACCAAGGATAGTGATGTTCAAGAATTTCATATAAATAGAGTTGAACCAACAAGCAGTTTCAGAAGGTTTTCTCCTTCCCAAAATGTAATATGGGAAGATTTTGTACTACTCCCTGTTGGTGCAAATAAGCTGGTATTCGCTTGAAGGCACAGTCACATCTGGTTAATCTCAGCAATTCTCCCAGTGGCTGTTAAGGTGCTAGTATTAAAGGCTTTAAACATTAAAACATATTTTCTCCCTTTAAAATGTTAATGTACAAGTACACCCTTAGTTACAAAAATTCAGGGGAAGTCTGTTCACAGACGGGGAGAATTATTGTTTTAAAACACTTGATTCTGAAAGCATGAATTTTTTCTCTGCCAAAAGTAAAGGAAAAATGAAAGGGTGCACTGATCATCTTATCTCTCACCCAAGAGGGAGAGATTATCTCTTTCAAATGCATAGTTTCTCTTGCAATATGAGCTTGATAAACAAATTTGAGAAATATTCCACCTTTTACCTCTCTGCCAATCTGTTCAGCTTTAACTCATGCCACTCTGACATAAATCTCAAGACTCCAAGGACTCCAGCAGTACCAGGCTCCTTGTGGTTTTTAAGACATGACATGCAGTTTCACAAGCCCCTGCGCTTGCCTGGAATGCCCTTCCCCTCAACACGTGTCTGACTCCTGTTCCCATCTTCAAAACAAAACTCAAGCTGCAACTTTGTGAGGCACTTCCTGATCAAGTACTTCTTCCTTTGTGCCTCAGCAGTACTTATCTCTGGGGCAGTTATCGTTCTGAATTGCAAATGCTTCTTTACCTGTCTACAGACTGAGCTCTCCGAGGACAGGACCTGCATCACGTTTATCTGATGGTATTCCTAACACTTGACAGACAGTAGGCATTTCATTTGTTTATGGGTTTTTTTTTTCCTTTGTTGAGGTATGATTTACAAAAAATAAAATTCACCAGTTTTAAGGGTGCAATTTAATGAGCTTTGATAAATGTAGATAATTATATAACCACTGTTACAATCATGATGAAGAATATTTCCATTACCCCGTAAAGTTCCCTCCTGCTCTTCTGCAGTCAACTCCTCCTTCAGTTCCAGCCCTTGGCAACCTCTGATCTACTTTGCTACAATTAATTTTTCCTGTTCAAAAGTTTCATAAATATGGAATTATACAGAATGTACTCATTTGTGTCTCACTTGTTTCACTTAGCATAACGCTTACGGGCTGCGTGTATTTCTCCTCTGACGCCCTGGTGGTGCAGTGGTAAAGAGCTCAGCTGTTAACCGAAAGGTTGGCAGTTACAATCCACCAGCCACTACTTGGAAACCTTATGGGGCAATTCTACTCTGCCCTATAGGGTCATTATGAGTCAGAATCGACTTGACAGCAATGGGTATATTTCTTCTTTGGTGAAGTACGTGGTCCAAATCTTTTGCCAAATTTTTATTCAAGTTTGTCTTTTTATTACTTAGTTGTAATGCCTTCTCGTTTTCTTAAGTGTTTTTGAAAAGCAAAAATTTTTAATTTTGGTATAGGTCAATTTATCAATTTTATCTTTTATAATTCTTGCTTTTTATGATTTTTCTATGAAACCTGCGCCCAACTCAAGGTCACAGAGATTTTCTCTTGTTTTCTTCTAGGAGTTTTAAAGTTTTAGCTCTTAGGCTTAGGTCTATGATCCTTTTCAAGTTAATCTTTGTATATTTTATCAGGTAAGGGTCAAGGTTCATTTTTTTGCATATAGATGTCAAACTGTTCCTGTACCATTTGTTGAAGAGATTATCCTTTCCCTAGTAATTTGCTTATCTTGGCATCTTTGACAAAAAACAATTGGTCTATTTCTAGATTCTCTGCTCTGTTCCACTGATCTAAATGCCTACCCTTAACCCAAAATCACACTGTCTTGATTATTACAGCTTTATAAGAAGTCTTGAAATCAGGTAGGATAAATCTTCCAATGTTGTTTTTTCAAAATTGATTTGACTCTTCTAAATCCTTTGCAATTCCATATAAAGGATCAATTGAAAAAATAAAATGCAGACACTTTAAATGTACTATATAGAATTTATATACAGAAGAGATTATTCATTTAAACTCTACCACTGTTATCTAAGTGGTAGATTTGTAGGCACACTTTTTATTCTCCCTAAAATAGAAAACACAGGAGGCACAGTGAACAGGTACTTTGCTAATCAGGAAAAAACAAATCCTTAAAACAAAACAAAACTGTCTCCAGGGAGTGTTCTGATAAAGAGTCATTATGTCAAGAGGGTGATCTGCCTGGTCATTCTGTGTGTGTGGCACAGAACTAGATGGGCTCTCTGCCAAGGGCCTGCAATCTTCATTCTTGGCTGAGTGGTGCCTGTTGTTACAGACTAGACATACAAAGATGCTTGCTTGGGCTTTCCTTCTGTTTTGAATAAAGCCTCTGGTTCTACAGGTGTGATACACTACCACAGGCCAACACACCACAGCAGTGAAAAGAATGTAGCATAACCAGTGCGCAAAGATTATGTGGACCTATTGCTTCCTAAAATTAGTTATTTGGTTTGAGTAAGACTTTTAGTTAATTAAAAATATTTGGGAAAAAAAGTTTTTTAAAAATCTGATTTTTAGTTAGACTATGGAAATGACAAGAGAAAAGGAATGTCTCAATTACATAAGGAACTAAGCCTACATAATCAATAACAAGGCTAAAACCTAGTCCAGGGATGCAATTAGATTTCATCTTATGGAGCAGTGCTGGTCTATTGACTCTAGATGTCTGGACCACTGTCTTGGGAAACAATCTGAGGCTTTGACTAGGTTTAGCAAGAAAGTGTTGGGACTACTTGGCAATGTCTGCAATGAGCATAGGATAATAACTTAGCACCTTAAGCGCTCAGCTGCTAACCAAAAGGTCAGTGGTTTGAACCCCCAGTGGCTCTGTGGGAGAAAAGGCCTGATGATCTGCTTCTGTAAAGAATGCAGCCTAGGAAATTCTATGGGGCAATTCTACTCTGTCAAACAGAGTTGCTGTAAGTTGAAATCAACTCAACAGCACACAGCAACAACAATCTAGGGACAAGGAACTCTGGCGGTGCGATAGTTAAGTGCTCGACGGCTAACTGAAAGGTCTGGGGTTCAAACCCACCCAGAAGCTTCGAAAGACTGGGCAATCTGCTCCCATAAAGATTACAGCCCAGGAAACCCTAATGGGAGCAGTTCTACACTGTCATATAAGGTTGCTCTGAGCTGGAAGCAACTCCACAGCATACAACAGTCTAGTACCAGGAGCCTCTGGGTGGTGCAAACGGTTGAGTGCTTCACTACTAGCTGAAATGCTGGGGGTTCAAACCTACCCAGAGGCACCTCAGAAGACAGGCCTGGTGATCTCTTTCTGAAAGGTCACAGCCTTCACAATCCCACAGAATAGTTCTACTCTGCACACATAGGGTCACCAGGAATTGGAATAGACATCGATGGCAACTAACAATAACCTAGTGACAAGCATGGACTTTCAATGTGCACTGAGTCTTAGATGCAACCATTCCCACTCCTAGGAAAATTTACTAAGCAAAGAGTCATCAACCCACAGAGATCTGAAATAAAAGCCAAAGCATGACTGACAGATTTTCTTAGTTTTGATACCTGCCTGCTATGAAGTCTAAAAATAAACCAACCACTTAAAGTCTTTGGACTTTGTGTTAAAGGGTTGATGAATGATAATGCCATGCTATTTTGAAAGTTCTTTCTCCAAAAAACTACTAAGAAAATAACTGAATCCTTATTCTAGAAAGTAAAGTGCTAGAAAACTTGCAGCGCAGAAGACAATGGCAGTGGTGCAAATGATCTGCATGATTCCTTCCCCACCTTGGGAAAGTTAGGCTGGGTTCATGTTGCCAGTGGTTCTGGGCGACCCACCCTACCCCTGTACTACTGTAACCATTTGCCACAACTTCTGCTCTGCCCCTGCTCCTAAATCAGACAAGGACTCAGAACCTGAATATCCTAACTACCTCTGCTTACTAGGCTCTGCCACCTATGTAAAACATATGTATCATGACAAAACTACATTCTCAAGCTTACCAACTGGATCACCTGCTTTTATTTTTAAAAACATAGCCTCAAAGGTAAGAATGACTACTTTGTCAAACAGAATATACAAACAGAAAGATCCATTTGTTCATAACTAAAGAAAAAATAATCCAACCCGCTTGTTTCATATATAAGAATACTAAGGCTCAGAAAGCAGAAAGGACTTGTCTCTATGTGGGGGGAATAGTTCAGAATCTGAGAATCAGTCTGTATGGTACACAGAGTGACCCAGGAAGGGTTAATAACTCTGGAGCAGCTAAACCAACAGCCTAAATTTTTTTCCCTTTCAGTCAATATATTCTTAATTAGAGACACACCCAGGTAGATGATTTGTGCAGTAGCTTTTCCTGTAAAACTCATCTGAGCCACGTAACTTAACCAGTGAAATAACGAAGACATTACATGATGAACCAATGTGTACAGTACTGGCCTTGTGAGATCTACAGCAAGGGGTCTGTTCTCCCATCCCTACGTGAGAACACCTAGCTGGGCGCGCTGCAGAAAGCCAGGCTCCAGTTCCTGTGAATCACCGGCTTTGTGCTGCAAACATTCCCTTTTAGAAGCAGCAGTTAAGTTTAAACACATTTTATCCCAACTAGCACTTCAAAAAGTCATAAGTCAATTGATGTCTGTTTCACTTTTATCTGGTTTAACTAGATATCATTTATTAATAGTAAGCTGGTTTTTGCATGACACAGTTTTTAAAAAAATGTTTTAAAGTTAGAAGACATATGTTTTAAAAAAACGAAGTGCTTGGCTAGGATGTAGAGAAACTGAAACTCTGGTGCATTGCTGGTGGGAA